TTTTTTACATGCAATGAAATTATTTCAATGAGGACAAAAGGGTAAAAACAAAAACAAATGAAATTCAATATCAATGGCACTCGAAAATCTCTCATCACTGCTTCAAAAAAAGCATAACTGCGTGTGTAACATGCTCTCGAAATATTTCAACACTGCTACATCTTCAGCTGATTGATTCAGTTCATTTCTTGTGGAAAAACACTCTTTGGAACAAGCTAAACTTGACAATTTTGTCATAAGATGTGTGAGGAAAATGAAAACATTCTTAATCACTGTATAGACATCCATAAATGTTTGACACCTCCTCCTTCACTTCGACGTCCTTCATCGGTGATAGCTTACGATGAAATGGTTTGTATTGTTTATCGAATAGATTAGACATATTCGGGTCAAATTAAAGTTCTCACTGCAAACTAACAAATCTAAAATATTACGTCCCCATAGTGTACTTAGAGCAAATTATTTAAATTTTAAGGTATGTGAAAGGAGGTGGTCGAAATTCATAGATTTTTCCCCACGGTGGAAATGGTATAAAATGAAAGTACTTGATGAGTATAGAACTACTTCGATGTTGATTTCTTTCAATCTTGCCCATTTTGTGCATAAAAACTTAAGGAATGTTACATCTATGTCCTATGGGCTCCTGTAGGATCCCAGCTCTCAGAGAACTCGTACTTTCGAATTTTGTTCTGAAACTTAGTGCATATAGAGATCTCAACTAGACTAGTTTCTAAAAAACTATTTAGAAGTTTTTAACCAAGTCTCTTCGAGATATGAAGCTTTCAACGTATAAGTCCTTGTCCATGAGTAGTTATACAACATGGATTTGTTGAAAGCTTCATATCCCGAAGACTTTGTTAAAAACTTCTAAATATTTTTATAGAAGCTAGTCTAGCTGAGAGCTCTATATGCACAAAGTTTCAGAACAAAATTCGAAAGTACGAATTTTCTGAAACCTAGGATCCTACAGGAGCCTAGAGGACATAGACGTAACATTCGTTAAGTTTTTATCTACAAAAGGGATAAGATTGAAAGAAATCAACATCGGAGTAGTTCTATACTCATCAAGTACTTTCATTGTATACCATTTTCACCGTGGGGAAAAATCCATCATTTTCGACTACCCCCTTTCTGTGAAATGACAATAGTTGGAGGGAAAATAAGATTATGAATAGATAGAGCATTCAAAATTGATATAAGAAAATCAATCAAATATCATTTACATTTTTTGTTTCAAGCTAAAAAAAGACTGAAAGCAAAGCAACCGATCTGGAATCATCATAAAAATGCACAAAAATGGTCAAAAAAGTACTTTATTTTCAGCATTTTTCGTAAACGATAAAAGATAGAAATCTGATTTTAGCAGCATAAGTAGAGCATGACTAACAGATACTTTGGTATTAATCTCGAGCAATTTGACTGAACAGGAACTGAGAAATAAACAAGGCCATTTTTGACGGTCAAATGGTACAATAGATATCAGAGTGACTCATATGTATATACATATGATTCACCATTCTCGAAGCACTTCACTCAATAATCCAAAACAATCAGTTTTCTAATATAACTTTGTCATTTTTATGATTAAGTTCCTGCATAGGTTATTCTTTTGATGCTATTTTTGCTAATTTCAAAAATGTAAAAATTCGTTCCAAATTAAACCGTTCAATATATATTCAGATCAGGATTCGTTCAGCTCTGAATACATTGGAATGTTTGATGTTCGAACGAATTTGTACATTCTTGCAATTAGGAAAAATAGTATCAAAAGAAAAACCTATGCAGAAACTTAATCATAAAAATGATAATGTTATCTTATGAAATTGATCATTTTGGTTTATTGATTTGATGTGCCATGAGAATAGTGAAAAATATGTATACACATACATATATACAAATATATCATTTCGTGCAGAATTAAAAGGCAAATTTATTGAAACAAATTAAATCTGAACAAACGAATATTAAAAGAAATATTATTAAAATGTCTTGAAGTAAAAATTATTATAATGATGTAAAACAGTTACAGAAAATGCCTTTCATTTGATGTATTAAAATGATCATTTTCGTAATCATTTTAATCCATCACATGAAAAGCAATTTTTACGCATTTTTTGTGACAGCTTTGCATCGCTATAATTATGTACGTTTGAAAGCATTTTAATGCCACTTTACTACTTTCTTCCCAGCCTAGGAAGAACTATATTATTTTTTTATCTTTTTTCAACTATATGGTTTGATAAACTGACAAGATTTTTATTTTTATTTTTTATCATGGTGCCTTTTTATTACAAATAAATAATAAAAAAAATCTATATATTTTGATGAAAATCGTTAATTAGTAATGACACATTGTACTTGTTTTCCATTGGATGTGAACCATTCAGCCTTGCAACCTCCACAATAGTTCGGGACACAGTTAACGTTGGCATGTGCTGGACATTTTGCTCCCTATTGAAAAGCTTTCGTAAAAAAGAAAATATATAACTTAGTTATTGTAACTTACTTGACATGGATCTTTCAGACACTGAACTTCATTCTGACCCGGTGGACATGGAGATGATTTATTGCAGTTCACTGGAGTACCATCAGATTTATACCATAGAGCATGGCATCCACCGCAATAGTTTGAGACACATTTTGCGGTAGGATATGATGGACATGTTGCTCCCTATTGAAAAACTTTTGTAAAGAAGAAAACATATAACCTAGTCATTGTAACTTACTTCACACGGGTCTTTCTTACATTGAACTTCATCCTGACCAGATGGACATGGAGATGATTTATTGCAGTTTACTGGAGTACCATCAGATTTATACCATAGAGCATGGCATCCACCGCAGTAGTTAGAGACACATTTAGCGTTAGGACATGCTGGACATGTTGCTCCCTATTGATAAGGTTTCGTAAAAAAAGAAAACATATAAGTTAGCTATT